GGTCCTTCCTTAAAACTGTATGGTACAGATCATTAATACAAATGGATAACTCGGGTATTGCTCTCTCCTTTCAGTAAGAGAATGTTGAAAATCCTCAGGAATCATTTGATACAATTTTCAGAAGCCAGGATAAGGTTTTAGACATTTTGTCAGGTCATCAAACACTATGAAAGCTTCTAAATGACTGAATAATTATCTGTCAAACTCTGATTAAGTGGACAAATATTCTGTTTTTTGGTTTAGCAGGTTCATAAAAGTTTGTGGAGTTTACAAGTTATCAATAAACCGATAAATAGTTGCTTAATGTACATAAACGAAACCTAAGATATAACTTTTATTCTTACTTCTCTCAGTTTAGAAGTATTTGAGGAATCTAAGCAGGGACTAGGAAGTTATTATCAAGCAACTAGATAGTTTAGCTGAACGATTAACATTGTGGTGTTGGACAACATTAGGGCTTACCAGTTAAATTGTACACTCTTAGATGATACAATACTTTAGTAGTTGTTCATATACAATGGTGCAGAGAATCATACGTAAGTATAGTACAGTTTTTGAAATAATATTATAACGAATCACTAATACCATTTTAAAAATATCAATGTATAAAGCGTGCAACGTACGTAGTTGAACCAGTACGTACTCGTAAATCAACAAGAATTCTCCAAACAGCAGCTGCTGGTTGAGTTGGTGGTTCTGATGAATGCATAGAACCATCACGATCAGAAAAGCTTACATCAGATGGCGAACGTATGACTTGACCATTTGAATGGAAGCAATGACTGTTTACTGCTTCAGAGGAAATAGGACTGGATGGAATAGATCCAGTATGTTGCTGATTATTTTTCGATAACATATATTGATTTATTTGACTGTCACTAAGGATAAATAAGCTGTATGTCATGAAACGTCCTCCATATTGACAAAATGGGTCCCAGTATTGTAAATAACACTGAAGCTGAAGAAAAACAATAAAAATACATAGGCCCAGTGTTCTATATACCAAATCCGGGATTTATCGAAGTCATTTATAAAACCGTACTTTCTGACATGAGTTTTAAAGTTGGAAGCATCAAACGTATTTTTCCTATAGTTTTATATTTGCATTAACGAGTTATTCAAACAGTCGGTTGGTTTTGTTAGAACTGATTAAGTGACCTTTGGATTTATGAGCAAATATAAAAAGACCTCAAGAAGTACTCGCAAATTTGTATTGATTAAGGCATCAACGTAATACATAAACTCCAGCTCTGAATATTAACGTAATTAATCTGATCAGATCAATTACGTTTTCTCCAAGTTCTATCAAAATTTATAAAAGGGACATATTAGATTACACAAATAGATCAACAGTCACTCAATAGTTAATAGTCAGTTTATGGTACTGCGTTAGACAAGAGGCTTGAAAGGTCTGTATAAATAAGTAACGTCTTCGCTGGACTGAGAAGTCTGATTCTGTAAATTTGTCTTCCTTTTTGTTCGCATTCATTGCTTGTAATGTTTATTTCTATTCAACTGCTATGAAATAATGATTATTGAAACAATGATATCATTAAATTAAAAACTTACTTCTAATTCATTCGGTAAATTATTATCATTCAATTTTGAAGTGACCAATTCCAATGGTACAGGAAATACTTTTAAATAATTCGGTGTACGCAGCTCATTATACATCCATGTGATACCTAACCATTGTGGTTTCTGTAAATAATTATTATCTTCAATATTAATTTTATCATTTACTAAATCATTATAAAGTATCACTTGATTAGGTAATGGCCATGGATGCGCTTGTAAAGGTGATTGTTTCCAATTATTTTCATTTAATATCCATGGCCAATATGGATGAGAAAAGTATGCTTCAAATTGGTGTTGTTCAATATTATCAGATGATGACGGCACAGTCGGTGTATAACTATGAAAGATAAAATGTTCTTGATTGCGTAAATCATCTATGCATAGAATAGGATCATTATTTGAACAATGTACACATGAATTGTTATATTCAGCTGTATGTTGAATAGAAGATATATTAGTGGTTACATTCTCATTACTCATTCTAATCGATTTCATAATAGACATTATTTGTTGAATAATCATTTGAATGTATTCATTTATATAACCGCATACAGGTAAATGAATGTATAGACCAGAATCCATTTGAAAATATGCATAGACTTTATCAAATGAATAATAGTTAGGATTAATACTGACTTCATGAATACAATGTTTAGTGTCAATGGACAAACCTAATTGATAATTTATATTAGGCCATATTAAATAATGAATAGATTTACGAGAATTCATTTTATCCAATAAGTTATTTGTATCATAATAGCGTAAAGATAAAGATGATAATTTTTGCCAACAATAAGTTGAAGTGTTTGGTTCAGATTGAATGATTTTTAAGTGAATCAATGTTAAAATTTGTTTTATGCTTAATTCTAAGACATTGGATGAGTTGATTGTTTGTTCAATAATATCATTAAATTGTAATTTAATCTAAAACAGAACAGAAATGGAAAAATCAAGAACAAAATAAAACAAAGATATACATGAATGTGTGCAAGTATTAATGTATGAATCAATTGTACGAATAATATTGTCAACCAGACTATGTAAGAAATACATGAATCAGATACAGGCTAGAACAAGAGCTTATTAACGCATACTAAGAAGTATTCACTAGGTAGAATTAAAATGTGGATTAGTTTTAGAGGTGAAGCTGGATACTCATCTTGTTCATTGACGAATTATTGCCTACCCTCAGCTGATACGTCAAAACACTTTGATGCTTTATAGCAGCTGTGAATAAAAGTAATCCAGTGTGACGAATCATATAGATATAGGAAATATAATCTACAATTGATTTGAAAAACAACAAATTAACAAATGATAACAGGTATTAAGTCACAATTTCAAAATCGGGCAAAACAGCCATCTCAAATGTTTGAAGAATTTTCGCACATGAAAATGAAAATGTCAATAATTTTTTTGGTGAAAAAATTATCCCTCTGTGTATATATAACCTGATTTCTTTAAGTTGAGTTCATTTAACAGACCGTAGCACCCATAGGTGGGTATTGTTGATGAAGAAAGTAGATTTAAACAATTGACCCAATGAATTGAAAACCCCATATTTCAACATATAAGAAACAATTCTACTGGATGAATAGTGTTTTAAAAGTAATCTGTTGAGCTGATTTCAATCGATAAAGCTGGATTAACTGATAATTATTTATGATTGAAATTATGAATGGATCAATAATAGACCACCATTAGAAGACTGGAAGCACTGGTATGCAGCTCATTAGTAGTGAGCACCCACAACCCCCACCCACGGGAATCGAACTCAGGACCTCGAGTTTCGCATGCGAACGCCTAACCTCCAGACAACTGGGCCGGCACCCAATGGCGTCAATGTCTAACTTTAGTCGATCCGTGATGTTGCGCAACCTCACCTATTGTCTTCGGTGGATGACTGTCTCACACTCAACAGGGTCGAACTCCACTGGTCACGAATTTTCACTAGAACTCTGAGAATTCACGAAGCTAGTCACTAGTGAGCATATGATATTTTTCATTATAGGGTTGTGGAGATTGTTGAGTTTGAATGAAATCAGGAATCGATCAACGGAAGAGAAAACAAACGTCTATGACATATTAAAAACACAAAGTTCAGCAAAGGGATCGTTTTGCAACGAATTTACTGTCAAGCCGTACAATCGTATTTAAAAATGAAATTTTTTTTAAGTAGTAATCACTTGTTGATATATAAACAATGAATAAGCATGATGATGTAATAGAAAGATTATAATACTAGATGATATTGTGTCAATAATTATAATAAACCAAACTTCGTGTTTTTAGTGTTTAAATAGGGCATCATATGCCAATTGCATAATAATTATGAATAATAAATACTTCATTACAACGTTTCATAAAATTCACAATTCAATGACAAACTGGAAAAAATTTCCTAAAGCTTTAGCATTGATAAAAAAAAAACATAAGAAACAACTATAAAACTAAAGAACTGATATTTACATTCATCAGTAGTAATGGACTGTTGTGAAAAGTTAAAAATGAAATCGCCTAATGATAAACAAGTTAACCAACGAACCACTTACCTTAATACTATTTATTTCAATGTTAATTTTATCGAAATAAAAGTGTAAAATATGAACAAGTCTAGCAATACTGCTGGATGATGATTGATTTACACAAGGATTATTATGATGACATTGTTTAATTTCGTTACAATCCATTTCACCGGTAATATTTTTAGGCTTCCTTTCAAATAATTGATGGAAAAAGTTGCACAAATGCAAAACTGAGGAAATTGTAACTGGACGAATGGAGAAAAATTGATCTTGTACAGTTGAAATTTGTATGTTGAAACGATTATGTTGATACGGTAATGACTAGATAGATTATATTGTAAAAAAACATGAATAATTTGAGGAAATACTAATCAATCATAATGTAAATATGATATTGTAGTAACATGTCTATTAGCATCTGCAAAGTATGCTAAGACAATCTTTTGGTTATCTAGATTTTTATTAATAAATGGTTTTTATTCGTGAAAGAATAATGACAATTTATTTGATTGGTCGTTCAAACTTAATTTGCTAATTTTACTATGTGCTCAAGGGTCCTAGGTGAGGATGGCAGATAGATCTATGAAGTATGGAAACTCCATCAGGTGAGGTGGTTGGGACGTGTGCTGCGTACACCTAACCACAGACTTCCTCGTCGAGCTATGTTTTGCGATGGAGGAATAGGTTGGAAGAAAGCTATGGCGGCCAAACTAAAACATGGCAGAAATCCATGAAGTCACTGACAAATGGACTGAATCATGTTGGTAGATATACACTACCTGGTTGGGGTCCGCAAGATGATAGCAATTGATGGTTAGAGATCTTGAATGACATGGCTAGAAATCGTTTGCAATGGCGCAGGTGCATTCATTCTTTGTGTTCTCGCAAATCATAACCTTCGGAGTTCTTCATCACCTTTATCTTTTTAAGTTTATTTCGCTAGATTCTACTTCATGAATAATATCCTGGAACCCTAATCTCTCCGATTACTGCTAGTACTTCTACTACCTCTACTACTATGGGATTTGAAGTGACAATTGCATCTCTGTGCTAATGTGGTATAGCAACCTGAACTGATGCACGTGCGTACGAAGTTCTAAGTTGTTGTTGACTGACTATGTACTCAAAGGTTAAGTTTTGTCACTGTATATAATATCGAACTTTCTCTTGTTTTATGTATTATAAAGAATTATTGTATGATGTGTTTTGTTTCCATTGTCCGATTTATCTACTTTATATAGATCCTGTTTCATATTTCAGCTGTTTATTAAGAGAGTTTGGCGTAGGTCAATCGTTCCAAAATATCACCAATCAGTAGTAAATAATTTTTCATTTCAGCTATTGTCTACATAATACATATATACACATAATGTTTATCAATGAATAGGTATTACAGATCTAAACCCTATTCATTTGAAAAGCCACGGGATTTACAAACAGTCAACGAATGATATCATCTGATATGCAACCAAAGTAGTTACATAACAGAGGAAAAAAATAAATTAATTGGAGATCACATAAATATTTTGGTTCAATAATAACGTAATTTCATGAAAGATCAATAAAGTTACAAATGAACATGACAACTAATTCATCACCGCATGTAACAACAAAATAATAAGATTGTTTTTACTGTGATTGCTCCACAAACGTTTCAGACATATCCAAGACCGTAGCGATGTCGATCAGTATTAAGAGTTAGTGAGATGAAAAAGCTGTCAAGTGTATTTTTTTTTGAATTTTAAATGGTTATTTAACTAAGATCAGTCCATTACGTGATTCATAAAAACTTTTGTCTGCATCAAATAGTTCATTCAATATCGATGACCTGAAAAGTTTTATTATTGTCGAAAAAAAAAAGAATTAAACAATTTAATGACCAGCAACACAATTTCCATTTAAATTCTACTTACCTCTCTGACTGAAGATAAATAATCAAATCGAGAAGGTCGACTGCAGGTAACTAGTAAGCATGGTTTCATGAAATCCGTATCTGAATGCTTCCGATTGGGACAGGAATACCAAAATATTGATGAATTACATATTGGTAAATCGTTATTTTTATTATCAGATGATATTTTCTTGTTAATTATGCATGGAAGAACAATAACAGTAGGATCTTTATTGCAATTTTCTGGATTAAATTTATAAATAACAACCGATTTACACATCGTACATGAGGATTTCAATCCACTTCGTCGACAATCCACCTGAAAATTGTAATAATAATAATAATAATAATAATAATAATAATAATAATATACAATCGGTAGAATATGGCTAGCAGTAGAATCCAGAATGTGTGTTTCGTCTTTCTTGGGGCTCATCAACTGAATATACCTGCATCTCAGAAGTGATGTTCACTCTGGCATACGACGCCAATATTACAACCGAGACTGATCGAATCTCGGTAAAACTGCAGGATAATTCAAGTTATTTCGAAGTCAATTAAATAAATAATAATAACAAAATGACTTAATCTTTAAGGAAGATAAAATCGACCTGATAGTTTGAATCTGTACGCAAGACAATTGTACATAATTGTACACAAGTGCAATTGTCAATATAAAATAATATAACAATAATATTTTCAACTTACTTGAAAACTATCCATTGAAAATTCCATACAATCAGAAACATTTAAATTTTCACCAGCTATATTCACAATCATATGAGGTTGATTAATTTGCATAATAAATTCTGATGAATAATGATTTTCATGAGGTGTCGTCCACATAAGAAATAAAATCTGACGAGTAATGATAAATAAACGACTAGGTGTATAGAATAAGTTATTAGAATGATTATTTGATGAGAAAAATAATCGCTCAAATAGATTTACATATGACGATTGACGTGATGATGACAATGATTGTGACATATGATTCGATGTCACTGAAGAAGAACATGCAGAATCCGATATGATTTGAATAAAATGTTTAATTAATTCACAATCAGCTAGTATCAATAAATTATTCATTAGACATAATTCCATGGCATATCCTCCGTAAATATTCTACAATTTAGGGAAACAAAAAAAATGAAACTATGATTTATTGATGATCAGAGAAAATAGACATATCTATAGAGATTAGCATTTGATGTAAAAAATTGATTTACAGTTTGTTGCGATTTGAGTGCATTTGTTAACTGTTCTATGCTGTGTGTGTTTGATTGTTAGTGAGATGCATGAACAGAGTGTATCATGATTAATTGAATCGAGTAATCTAATGTCCAAAAGAGTGATGGGTCCTAGAGATCTAATTATTTACTACACAGTATTCATAGCAAAGCAAGGGCTGCATTTCTCCTATTGAACTACATCTGGAACTCAAAACAACTTTCGACAAACACCAAAATCAGAATTTCCAATACAAATGTCAGCGGAAACTTGGAGAACTACGAAAGCCATCATCTACAAGATTCAAGTATTTATTAACAGTTGCCTACGGAAAATATTTCGGATCCGTTGACCAGACACCATCAGCAACAACCTATTATGGGAGAGAACAAACCAGATTCCAGTGGGGGGGAATCAGGAAGAAGTGCTGGAAGTGGATAGGACATACATTGAGGAGAGCACCCAACTGCGTCACAAGACAAGCTCTCACCCAGAACCCTCAAGGCGAAAGGAAAAGTGGAAGGCCAAGAAACACATTACGTCGAAAAATGGCGACAGATATGAGAAGAATGAACACAAATTGGACAGAACTGTAAAGAGAAGCCCAGGACAGAGTAGGTTGGAGAACACTGGTCGGTGGCCTATGCTCCATTGGGGGTGACAGGCGTAAGTAAGAAGTAAGTAAGTAAGTAGTGTTCCAAAGATTATGTAATATTAAGTATCGGGTGATCACAAACAGTCAGTCAGTCAGTTGCAACGTAGAACTTCGTACGTAAGTACATCAGTTCATGTCGCCATACCACATCAGCACAGAGATATAATTGTCAATTCAAATCCAATAGTAGAAGAGGTAGTAAAGGTATTAGAAGTAATCGTAGACGTTAGAATTAGAAGATATTATTCACGAAGTGTGATTCAATGAGATAAGTTTAGAAAGTAAAAGCTAGAGGTGTTGAAGAACTCAGAAGATTAGGATTTGAGAGAACACAAAGAATAAATGCACTGGCGCCATTGCGAACGATTTTGAGCCATGTCATTCAAGGTCTCTAACCATCGATTATTATCATCTCGCGGACCACAACCAGGTAGTCGACAATTACCGACATGGTTTGACCGCCCCTAGCTTTCTTCCAACCTATTCCTACACCACAAAACAAAGCTCGACGAGGCAGTCGGTGGTTAGGCATACGCAACACGTGTCCCAACCACCTCAACCGATGAAGTTTCACCACTTCATCGATTGATCTGCCATTCTTACCTAGTACCCGTTTCCTAATAACAGCGTTGCTAACTCGGGTGTCCCACGATATACGAGCAATGCTTCGAAGACACCTATGATCGAAAACCAATAACCGTCGAGTATCTTCTACTCTCATTGGCCATGTTTCACAGCCATAAAGTAAGACAGAGCGAACCACTGCGCAGTACACTCGTCCTTTAGTCAGCAAACGGATATCTCGCCTACGCCATAAGTGACGCAGGTTGGCAAAAGCCAATCGAGCCTTCTGTATCCGTGCCGAGATTTCGTCAGTCACCAGGCCATCAGCACTGATGAGACTCCCAAGATAGGTGAAGCGGTCTACACGTTCGACCACTTCACTCCCTATCACTAGTTCAGGTGCCGATGAAACCCAATCTTGAAGCAACATTTTGCATTTCGAGGGGGAAAACCGCATCCCGAACATGCTTGCATTGTTGCTTAGGGTAGTCAGAAGACTCTGCATTTTGTCAGCGTCTTCACCAAGTAGGACAATGTCATCGGCATATTCTAAGTCAATAAGCGAGCCACCTGGTAAAAGGTCTACTCCTGAAAATTCAGACGAGGATAAGGTAAGTTCTAGGAGCATGTCTATGATAAAATTGAACAAGAATGGAGAAAGTGGACATCCCTGACGGACACCACTTGATGTAGAGAATTCCGGTGACAGTTCGCCATAAGCCCTCACTCGACCAGTGGTGTTCGAGTATAGGGCTTGTATAAGGTTAATGTACTTCTGTGGTACACCTTTCAATGACAGACACTGCCACAGAACCTCACGATCCACTGAGTCAAATGCCGCCTTAAGGTCTAGGAAAACAACTATTGTAGGACGCCTAAATGTGTGTCTGTGTTCCAGGACCTGTCGTAGTGTGAAAATGTGGTCTATACAGCCACGTCCAGGTCGAAAACCAGATTGGTTTTCCCGAGTTTGCTCTTCACGAGCTTTCGTTAAGCGTCGAAGTATTATTGAGGCCAATATTTTAGATACTATGTTAGTTAGGCTTATTCCCCTGTGATTGTCACAAGAAGACTTCTGTCCTTTCTTATAGATTGGGACAATCAAGGATTGAGACCAGTCGGATGGGATTGCGTCCAGTTCCCAGATTCTACCTAAGATCTCAGTCAACCTAGCTGATAAAACTGGACCTCCATCCTTAAATATCTCAGGGGTAAGTCTATCAGGACCTGCAGCTCGTCCTCGTTTCAGATTTCCTAACGCTTTCTCAACTTCATTAAGACTAGGGGGACTTAGGTCGATTTGCCATTCAGGATGACTGGAGATCGTGGGTAACCGAAGAGTGGCTCGTGGCCAGTTGAACTGATCCCTAAAGTGTTCTGCCCATCGATCCAGTCTCCTGGATTGAGAATGGATAATAAGACCATCCTTTTCCGAGATAGTCTCACTCACATTCGGGTTCTTAATACCAGTTTCTTTAATAAGGCGGAAAAGTTGTCTAGTGTTGCCTATCGCCGCTGCCTTTTCCATCGCTTTTGCTTTCGCCACCCACCACTGCTGATCCCGAAGTGGGAGGGACCGTACGTCGTCACCGAGAGGCGCGGCGCAGTGTATACGATCCAGAAAGGAAACAAACAGAAACGCGTGAATGCCAGTGAACTCCAAAGGTGGTTCCAAGTGCGCCAAGAGGGCGAGCCACAAACACTGATGAAGAAGACGGCTGTACGGAGATCAGAAAGACTGCGACGACAGCTTATTAAAAGGGGGGACGAGTGTGGTGCTGTGGTGCGAACTACTTATAAGTAGTATATAGCGTGAGTGTCAACGTAAAGTCTGGTAGCATAATATAATAATAATAATAAGATCAAGAAAGGAAGAGTCAGAAAACAATGGAATTTGTATGAAACGCATGAAGAGTGACAATGGATTGATGTTTGGCAACAGGAACAGTCCAGTTCCATAGGATGAACTAATGTTTTGCAAATGAACGATTTACGATATGGTTTTCCGATTTTACTGAGTAACTCTGTAATTTTCGTTAAATACAATTCGGTTGCCTCCACCTGTGTTCTCATTCACAAACGCAAAATTGTTTTTCATGTTATAACAGTTATTTTATTAATTTATTTGAAAAAATTCAAATATCCAAGTATAAACTGTACAATATATTCTTTCATAGTTATCTACTGTTTAGACACAACTAAAAGAAACCCAAAATGGATATGATACAAGGTTCAAATCTGAGATATAGTAATTAAAAATTGAATACTTTAATCATTATGTTAAATAATTTTCATAAGATAATGTGTACTTGGATAAATTCGACATTTGCTACTACATTACATTTGATGTATGGTGTAAACTATTGTACCTGAAAGTATACACATGAATAACATGTTGCTGAAATATAAAATAATTAGAAAGCTTATTCTGTATTATTATCATAGGCAAATAGTTAAATACAACAATATTGATCGAAATTTTATGGAAATTCTTTTTCAAACAGACAATATGTACTTACCATATCAGAATTTTCATGATTTTTCACAATAGCCGGTGCAAGTGTAATAGACAGATTAAATGGTTGTACAATGGACCACCCATACAAAGGATCATTTCTATGATGAAAAAAAAAGAAACAATAAACGATTAGATATCAGTCTAATAAACAATTAACCGGTCTTACAAATGTAATAGATGTAACAACAAAATTTGAAATAACCGATTTCATGTGTACATATATACATGGAGTTAAATCTGTTTCGAATAGGAAAAAGTTATTTGCCGCAAACAACGGATGAAGATTGTGCAACCTCATGGACTGATTGATTGAAGTAATACATTAATACCGTTGGATGCCTACTCAGTTGTTTATATTTTAAGCGTTCATGTGCAGAGCTGAGGATAAGCAAGTGGCCATTTAGTGCTCTCAGTTTTCTAGCTAAGATCACTTAGTGAATATAATACAATCTCCACAAGTCCCCATTAAGTTTATTGTGCATATTTTATATTGATAAATGTATTTAATATATATTTGTTTGAGTACGTAAATCCTAATACAAAAAGGTAAGAAAAAACTGTGCTTAGAAAATGAAGAGATAATTGTTGAAATAAAAGAAGAACCACAGGTAAATAAACATAAATAGGATTTGATACAAGATACATTTAAGTTGATAAAGGAGCTAAGAAAGACTTTTAAAGAGGAGAAACTCGTCTTAATTGTATGAAGAGCATGATTGAGAATTAGAACTACTAGGATGAACTGTATCTGATTGTTTCAAACCACTGATTCATGCAATCAAGAGGACCCAAACTGACAGATATCAGTTATGTTATGACGCGCGATATCTGAAACTGATACTGATACACAAACTTCCTATGCACAAGTTACCAACCGACCACTAGAGCATGATCTGAATCTAAACTTGTGCTCCAGAACGATCAGCAGTATTCTATAGAGCTTCTCCAACAATGAATGATAGCAACGTGATCTAGTTGAGTCCAGCATTGAGTCGATTTCGGTAATTGGCAAGTCAAAAGATATTTGTCATTAGATTAAAGTTGGTACTTCCTAGAAACGGACGGTTATCTGAGCATAGCTGCATCAGACGGTCGCCATTATCTGTTTGATAAGCCGCGACACCGAAAGATCCATCCGGGTGTCTCTCAGTTTCGCTTAATCTATTGTCAGTCAGTCAGTCAGATGCAACGTAGAACTTCGTACGTAAGTACATCAGTTCATGTCGCCATACCACATCAGCACAGAGATGTAATTGTCAATTCAAATCCAATAGTAGAAGAGGTAGTAAAAGTATTAGAATTAATCGGAGAGGTTAAAATTAGAAGATATTATTCAAGAAGTATGATTCAGTGAGAAAAGTTTAGAAAGTCAAAACTAGAGGTGTTGAAGAATCCAGAAGATTAGGATTTGAAGGAACACAAAGAATAAATGCACCGGCGCCATTGCGAACGATTTTGAGCCATGTCATTCAAGGTCTCTAACCATCGATTATTATCATCTCGCGGACCCCAACCAGGTAGTCGACAATTACCAACATGGCTAAGTCCACTTGTCAGTGACTTCATGGATTTCTGCCACGTTTTGGTTTAGCCGCCCCTAACTTTCTTCCAACCTATTCCTACACTACAAAACAAAGCTCGACGAGGGAGTCGCTGGTTAGGCATACGCAACACATGTCCCAACCACTTCCTTAATCTATTGTAATCACCAACCACTGTTACTAGATCAGAGCACTTAGCTTTTTCAAGATGGTTGGAACTGCAATCAGCAGGAGTATATGCAGAGATAAAGAAAAGGAAACGGAGTGTCTCGATCTTTCCGAAATCTTAGCATCCTGTTGAGTGAGACAGCGCACGAGCGACTGTCTACTGGAATTCAGCCTAAGAGAACTTGAACTTAATGCCACACCCACAACAGTGAGGCCACGAGTAGTAGCAGTAAGGTATCCGGAAACACGAAGGGTAAGTCGGGACGCTCCTTTATATTAATAACGTGAGGTCAAATGAATGATTGCACTTGAGTCTCGTATACGCGTTTTGGAGAGGCAGCATGCACCATAGGAGCGATATTCTATGGTCATAGTTGCAGAAGCTTGTCGCCCTATTTGGCAAAAGGTTAGAACATTAAAGGCTTCAATATGTAGGTTGAAGCGTGGTTTTAGGAGACAAGGAATAACATTTCATGTACTCAAATGATAAGCATTAGCGGTGCGAGGTGATAAAGGTATGCAAGGGCTGGTGTTAATCTTAGTGACCTCGGAGCGTGACCGCAGAGCCCAAGGGATAACTGCATTATTGAAAATGCTGGTTATCTGAGAGAAAAACCTTACTGTTGTTACACCCCCTTACATCCAGCAGTAAGACTTCACCCTCAGACCTTAAGTTGCTGCTTTTAAACTTATTGTTTTCGAACCGACCGGTCTAGTATGGCAGATCCTAACAGAATGTATGTTCCAACGAATATAGCGCGGTTGAGCCACCATGATATAGGGAAGCCCAATAACTATGTCACGGTTGCGCGTACGGTCGGATTATCATGGGATAATGAAGGTTTTTGTGAGAAAGCAAAAAATTTCAAATTCATAACTTACATATCACTATAAGTAGCTGCTTGATTCCAATCTTTAGCGGGATTTTGAGCAATAACACTAGAATTAAACGAATGATAATCAATTGCTTGTTTTTCATGGCACATAAAGTCAAATGGTACAGCTGCAATACCAATACAGTTCACCAATATAAGCAATTGTTTATCATTTTCGATAATCGATTGTTTTATTGGAAATGATTGATTCAAAGTGAAATCATTTGAAAAGTATGGTCGATCAATAAAATTCTCTGTTAATTGCTTTGCTTGAATAAGATCACAAGATAGCATCAAAGCATTGGGATGTTTGGAGATGTTTTTCTTTTTAGATATCTAGAGTGAAAAATAACAGAAATCGGTATTATTGTCAACATATAACTATGGCTTAGACAGTTAACAATAAGTTTATCTTCTTTCTAGTAGATAGTTGTGGGCATTGTTGAATTTTGTAGTTTTCATCATAGACTAGATGCTGCGAGGTCTGAAAATCTGAGATTCAATCCCGGTTAGGTTTTGGATGCGCGCAGTTGAATTGTCTCATACAGAGACAAAAGGACTGTCCAGTGTTCCCGGGTTCGTTATGGTTGAGCAAATAAAATCAGCCAGTGATAAACACTGTAAAATTAATCTAATCTGTCAAACGGAGCGAAAACTAATTCATTAAAGCACTTGACTTCCAACTGTTAATTCCTAGTTTTGAACTCGCTATAGCCTACTTCTGTTTGGGCAAGCGGTTGGGATTGTGAGCCTCTTTACACAGTATACTTTAAAGCTGAGCACATAAATCTGTATTCATCACGTCAGTGAATTGATCATTTTCATTCTAGAGTTTCAGATACACTCATAATAATCATAATAATAATAACAATAACTAGTGACTTTAGCTGTACTGTACTACCTAGGTCAGATTCGAAATCCACGTGTTGCTTAACGAACCAACCAAAAGGAATTAACATCAAAAGTATAAGTAGTAGGGATTTTAGAAAGTAATATCAACCGTCAATCATTTAATGCACACATTTGGAAGCAATAGTTTTACTTTACTCGTAATATTTTAAAATTGGTTAACAGGATTCGGATATTTCCTTATGAAATGGAAACGAAACAGTATGAATGCTAAAAAATAAGGAACATTTAATCTTTTTAATACAAATTCTGTTATGCACCGACTGGGGGATTCCTCCATTTTTCAAGGTGAGTTCTCGAATATATAAGGTAACTATTAGTGTGCACGAAGTTCAACACTTTTATTGAGAACACAGTTATCACAATCTGATCTACAGATAGCTACCTAAACAGCGTCACTTCATCAATATTCAATACTCAAATTATGTACAAAACTACACACTGTTCAGAAAAGATCCAGATAAACAATGAAATACACTGGTAGGCATTGGTGTGAGTACCGAAACTGATTAGAAAATAAAACAATCGATTATGAACTTTAAACATTGCAGGCATATCTGCTTTTTTTACTGAAGAGTAACAGGTGCAAAGTTGTCAAAATTGTACTTTGTCAATTCTTAAGGACGACAACAAAACAGATATTGAACACGTTGCCGATAAGAATAATCATTGATTTAATTTCACACGAGATCGATTTTTACAGAAATAGAATTTTGAAATAATATTATTATTTGTAATTGACACTACAGTATATGTGCGTGCTTCGGTAGTGTTGTGTTCTCTGAACGAAATGGTATAATTACGGAGATTTCATTGGTTTTGGACAACAGCACAAGTGTTTACTTGATGTGGTGGTGTGTGAATTTGAGAGGAGAATCATGATGGGATAATACCAAATGAACCTAGAATACATCACCAGAAAGGACAACATGTCCAAGTAACTATATAGTATGTTGAATTAGCTAACACAAAGCACCAGCTCAAACTTATTAGCTTATATTTCAGTGTGAAAATGATGTTTTTCATCTAAGATTATTTAAAAAAAGAATCGTTTCCACTCTAGTCCACCATAATCCTTCATCATCATCTTTTTTTAGAAGTTCAATGGTAGTGTTTATGACATGTTAACATTGACTATGGCGATGGATTAATTGATTTAAAACATTCAGTATTGAACTAAAAAGTTGCATGTTGGAATCTGATTACAAAAATAGCGATTTATGTAAACGAGATGTATTACTAGCCCCTGAAGTTAGGTAAAAAAATGAGTTAATGACGTTTCTAAGTCTTCGTCAACTAAAGTGGTTTTTTCGCATACTTAACAACCATCTGCTATGATAACAATATCAAATAGTACAGTAGGTTGAAAAAAAGTTATAGGCGGTCAAACCGATTTATAAATAACATCAAATCATGAAGTTAATGACTGTCCGCCTAAGCCGTGTTGGCAAATTAACGAAACAACTAATTGGATACATTGGTTGATATGGCTACGAATAGGTCATAATGACTGAAGTTCATCTGAGAGTTCGAATCCCAATTTACAAACTACCTTCTCAGAGCTTAAACTTTTCTCATTACTACTACGACATTGTGTCGAATAGTTTACTGATTCATTTCAACGAGTTAAAATAGTATACGAAATTTAACCAAGAGATATAAATTCAATGCTCTGTTTTTATAACAGCTAAATGAAAAGAACAGCATTGTTTAGTGCTGAGTATATAAACCTGTATTTATTAAACAAGTTGCATTATTTATCTCATCAGAGAAATAATTGAAACCATGGGTAAATATTGATAATTCCTTCCTCATTAAAATGAGTGAATTACGACGAAGTTGAGTTATTTTGAGCACGAAGTATAGTAGAACAGAGCTAAAAGACTATAATATAATATCTAGCCATAAGTGAATTCTAGAAACTTACTCCGCCTAATAAATAAAATATTCGAAATGAATCAATTTCAGCATTGATAATTGGCAGTGAATGCACCGTTAAAGTTGGTTTCATAGGTGATATGTTAGCTATCTTGTCAGTGCGAACCGAAGATGAGGTTGATAATAATGAATTGGTGCATAGTCCTTCATTCGCCAAGCAGTCATCGATAAAACCACTGATTTCACTAATTACCTCTGGAATAATAACAATATCTAATGGTTGAACAGCAACATGTAGACGGTCTTCTAAATAGACCACACCACCACATGAAACGTCATCGATTAGTGACAAATCTGATTGAGATACAGAAAAATAATCCGAAGTTGTACTGGCTTGAGAACATGTTCTTTTAAACACTATCCTGACAAAATTTTCTCCAATGCTTGATTTATCATCTCCTCTGTTTGTATCTGAATTCAAGCGGTGACGTTTTCGAGCATTGATAGGTATTAATGGTACATTGTTCTCTCCAAACCATAAAAATTTATCAGACTGATAAAGTTGATTCATGGAAGGATTAGGTAACACAGTTTGCGATTCGAATTCAACCTCATGTGCTTTATTGAAATAAGGTTGAAGTAATCGGATAGGTTGAATATCTTTTTCTAATGATGTAAACAGTGGAATTTTGGATCTGTAAAGTGGGTAGATTTTAGAAAATCATGTTAGATCCTATGCAGTTAATAAATAATACGCACAACATCTAAATCAAACCGCATGATTTAGATAGTCAGTATACTACAATATGTTTAACTTATTATCCAAAAAACTTTTTTTTCCCAATGTTAACTAGACGTTTGCCTTTAATCCCCTCAATTTTATGGAAAACACTCCCGCCACAAGAAGGTAGTAGGCAGGACTTCCTTGGCAGTAGCTATATATTCGTTAGTATATGAGAGTACTTTAAGGAGTTCGAAATTTGCCCACTTTCGGTCATTTCAACGCCTTTGTGACCAATCAACTGGATGCATCTGAGTCCCAGAGTTAACTCCTAGACTCAAACTCAGAACTGTCCGCTTCCTAATATTCTAGATTATTAAAAAGAAAGTATAATTTAGAAAATTAAACATCATTTAAATAACATCATCGACATCAATACCAGTGACGTGACAGTGATGGTCAGAACGTTACAGGTACGAACTTTCCCCTTATCTACGTCAGTTTGAGCAGCTGGATACATATGTATTAGATGAAATTCATATACAAACATTTAAATCCATTTGTACAAAAATTCAGAGAGAGATCCGTTGGGTGATTTAATGTATATCACCGTTGTATTGATAAACTGGAAAATAATCACCTAAGCTGAAGGGAAAATTGAATAATCAACTTTTAACTATTGTGTTACTTTATTATGAAGAATGTTATCACGTCTTGACAATACATAACATATTAGCAAAACGAACATTTTATACAGTATGGAAAAATATTGATACAACTAACCCTGTTTTTTGAATTACTGCATCAAAATAACGAACATGAAAATCAACACAACAACATTCCTTTTGTAAATTAATACAAAGTTGTGTATTTTCTATTGTCCACTGTAAAATAGCATCTTGATCACAGGATGTTAACATAATTTCTCCATTGGCAGATGGTAAACTGCATTGAACACATAGAATGATATCAAAAGGATTATCTTGATCTTTACAGATTGACGAGTTTTCGAGATCAATGTTTCTTGACTTATTTGCATAATTTCTGATATTATATGGTGAATGAAATGAACTAATTGTTGAAAGATAATCTTTCATGTTAGAATGACGATTGTAGTTTGTTTTATAAAGTACCGTTTGACTATCAACACATGACTGTTCGGTGATGCAAATACTACTATTCGGTGAATTAATGTGAGTGGGCTTGTTTTGATTGGTAGATTCCATAGTGGATTTGACAAAGGTTGCTGTTGATAATTGTATTTTGGCATTTCTGTTTATAAACCTAGTGAATTCTGACAACTATGGAAAAGATTAAGTGTTAAACAATTTTGATTTAAGATAATTTGTGAAATTAAAGTACTCATCTACGACAAAATTAGTTAAGACGCTGTTAATGTGGTATTGACCGAAATAATAAGTTGAAAACAAAGATTACCTTCCGGATGCTTTTTTTTAATTAGGTTAGATAAGGTTGTGTTTAGAGTCCAGTCTGATCACATGATTTCAAGTAAAGGATATATTTTCACAATTATAACTTAGAACCAAATTTTTATGTTAAACTCATCTATATACAATGATTTCAGTTTCATCATAATTCTATTCATTTTATTATATTATCAGTAGAATAGATGTTTCTACACTGAATTCTTGATGAGTAATTCCTTCTGTTTATTTAAACAGAGCTAATGACTGAAATTTTGTGTGCTAAGTTAACTCTACATAATGTTAAACTATTATTATACTGTATATAAAAACACAAGGATCTGTCAGGATTCTTGTTCATATAAGAATTCCAACTAGATATTAATGACCTAACAACAAAATGGACATCCGAAACTGGTATTGATCTGTTTGCTTTTTTCAGTTTATTTCCAAAACGATTGTCTAGTAATATGTAAAGTAGCTAATCTTTACGTAGCATTTGTTTTCTTAAAATATCTAATTGAACATTCAGTATGAAGAGGATCATAGTGAAATATGAGTAACTAGGCTGAACAATGAACAATGTGACATAAAAATGGTTTATGAAATTATGAAAATGCCTCATATTATCAAGATCTATGTCTCGTTTCATTAGATTGGAAATTATGCATGTATCATCAATCGTTAAATCTTAATTCAAAACAGTCACTTGTAACACAAGTTAAAAAAATATTCGCTGATACGATATATGGATTGGTTTTGAAATAACATGTGGATGTGAATGGACGATTTGCAGAACGATTTTAAAACTGGTAAAAACCGGCTAGATTACCAAATAGGAGACCTTGAACAAGAACAAGACAGGGATGCAGTATTCTACGATTTTCACTAAATTTCGAAAGATTACTAATGATAACAATAATACCGAGGATGGCAATTACTACTACAGATTTTTAAGAAATAACTAAATAATGTGACAATTTCCTACCGTTTCTTATTCTTTTCATATCACGTTAATTTTCTTTCTCCTTTATTTACAATTATCACCTTATGTTTATTTGAACTTTGATTTGATTGACCTATTATTAATCTTCATATAAAATGCCTTGACAAGTAAATATGTGTGACCAGATTATTCAAAATTTTTAGGCACAAACGCATTACATTTTTCAAATCAATTACATCTTTTCATTTTTTCTATCAAAATTGATAAAAGGAACTAACTGTTTTAAAAATAGAATCAGTATAACAGTATATTAATACTAATAAAGTAAGCACTACCTACCTTAGGTACAATGATATTATGAATTCCACTGTAGCAAAATTGAACTGTTTTGACTGCCTGACTCAAAATTTGTAAATTTGGAATTCTGTATTTTCTACCAGATAAATAATTCGGCTCACGATCCCATTTAATGGTTGCATTGAGAGTTATAACAAATGGACTAGTGCTGCTAGACATTGTATTAGTTGACATTAATGTTCCTTTTAGTATTTTGTCATCGAAATTTTGATCAGAATGCAAATCGAAATTAACCGCCAGTTGATCAGCAAAAATTAAACTATTTTCTATCATTAAATACATTTGTGTAGCTGAAAACATCCAACGGAAGTTGGACTGTGCTGGATCAATGTTTTCTGATGGTAAGAATATGGGTAACTCATGCAATGAACATGACCATGAACAATTGCTGAGAATCATATCATCAAGTTGTTCATGTGAGAGCTCATCATTACCAGTTTTGTTTAAATCATAATAATTTGATAAATATAACTGAGGAAGGCCAAAAATTAGATGAGACGTGTTACTGAGTAATAGTAGATTTTCTAATTTTCGACCTTCTGCAAATGCGGAGAATGTTGATGGACATTCACTAATTATAGTGAATATTCGTGCTGGTTTGAAAAGAATCTACGATATTGGATGTTTTAAAAATGAATTCGATATATGGAAAAAAAAAGCCAATTTTCTTTTATCAATGACAAGTTATATGGGAATAAAACTTTTTAATTGAATAACTATAAGTTAACTCATAGCATTCAAAGTAAACATAGACCTGTTAGGGGAAAATGTTAAAAGTTATCAAATATTTCACAGAAATACTTAGAATATTTGCTATGAATGTTGGACTTGCAAACTTCAGCAAAAACCGAAACTTTTCTACAATAACATTAAAAATAGGAGATAAAGTAGTTGAATCTGTTGGATACTTAATTTATTTAAGGATTTATATGAACCTTAATAGTCTTGTTTCTTGACGAAACTTCAGCAGACATGAAGTCTTGATGAGTGTTTGTTAGCTTAAATCATTTACGAAGCCAGTAAGACATTGGACTATCAGACAACAAAGAAAAACAGTAGATGGCATGCTTTGATTTAAGCATCGTTGGAATTTTTTGTGTGAAATGTGGACATCTTAAGCAAAACAGCAAACATTACCGGCTTGATGAGAGTTTTTTTCAGCTTTACTAGAGAGTTTATTCAGCAGAAAAGTCAGTGGTAAGGAAATTTTTGAGACCACAGAATAAAGTTTTCAGTGATTTCTGTATCGAAAATACACTTTATTTTCTGTTTCCATACTGTATGATGCAAATCAAGGAGGTAAGGCTATGTAATATATATATGTCGAAATATTTTTCAGACTGAATCCTACTAATAAATAAGATGAAATACAAACAAAACATTTTGTGTCAGAACTGTGTACTACTATAGCAAATCGTACATGAATTATCGGACGAAGCATAGCGTTAGTTCTTTGGAAAATATATAATGCCATTAGAGTTTTTGTTTTTCTGAGTTTTAATAAGAAGCTGAGATCTTTGGAGTTAAGATATATCTGGCATGTGACACTCACCCACCTATGCAATTGGAAGATGATTGAGAAATATTGTGAATTAGTTTAAGTTGAACATGCTAACCATGAATGCCATCTCAGCAGTTTAAATGCTAGGCGCTCATAGAAAAACTTATAGGTTCTACGTTTAGTCACTAATAAGGCTGTTGATGTGTATCACTACTGCGGAAAACGAAACAGTTGGACAGTGATGAGTGTCTAGATAAGATCGATCTGTGATATATATTACAAAACTTTTCTTCATATATCAGTCAGCAATCACTAGTTTATAGGATATAAGAATAAAGTCGTTTTGCTGCGCATGAGAGAACAATGTATCTGTGCAATATTATCAATCAATGGTGAAAAATCATTCATTATTTACAATGCAACAGATAGTATCACTCTTCATTTTTGACAATTTTAATGTTAGCTACATGTGCTCGTATAATAATAATAATAATAATAATAATAATAATAATAATAATAATAATAATCTCAGTATTACTAAGCTAATGATTTAAATGTAACTTTTTGTGTCTGAAACTGAAATTTATAGATACATTCATTGATAGTCTTATTACGTTGTAACGTTCAATATAATTGGATAGTTTATGGGGAAATAAACTACAAAATCGGGAAATTTAAACAGATTTTACAGATTAAATAAATTCAATAATCTATTCTACAGAGTACTCTATTGTAAATCGAAAAAAACACCAACACTTAAATTCATCCTAGAAAGACCTAAATAGATTGATTGATAATGTTCTTGGTTAGGGTTAGATATTTAGTGCTAAGATTAGAAGTTTATATTTGAAATCTTCACAAGTGGTATACGCTGTAACACAAAATCATTCTAGAGAAGTATTTATGAATAAATTTTGTGCAAAAAAGCAGGAAGCTCTGTGCGTTCAGTTCATCCATAACGTTTAGTGCCACCAGATTACGGTTTGTTCCATGATTAAGATTTCAGGTAGAGTTTCAATTTGCCTGTTACATATAATTCATGTAGATGGAATTCAGCGTTTAATATATTTAAAGCTATCACTTTTAATCTATGCAGGCGGAAATAATTTTTCTCTATTATTTTAAACGTTTCAAGTCATACACATAGGCATTTCTACTACTCGTTATGCATGATATTTGAATTTCGCGCAAAAAACTGGAAAGTTGTATTCACAACTCTGATTAACACATCCCTTTTATCCAACTTTTTAAAATTCTATAAGTAAATTTCTAATTCAAATTATTGTTGAATAGTTTAATTCTCGCTCATTTGTAAACCATATTCTGGTATGACTGTTGATACATAAAGCATATTACAAAGTATTCTTTAGATTTTTTTAAAAGTATGACTGAGAAAAGTACTATGACGGTTTATCGGAAATATAAGACAGGAGGCAGTCAAGCCCTACATTCGTTGAAACAACGTGTTCAAAGTCAATGAAAGTTAAAAGATTTTCTTGCTTACTGAAGGTAATTACATGTAAAAACAAGTAATCGGTGGCTAGTTGGGGTTACGAGCTCAGTAACAACAGTTAACTCACAACAAAGATAAACACGAAAATGATCTATTCAATATGGTCGGACAGATGAGAAGTGTATTAACCAATAAATGAAGAATAACCGAGAAATACAAAACAACTACTGTTGAGGAACTCATAGGTAGAAAAAAGGAGAATTTCACAACAAACCTTACCTGAAATTTAGCATTCTGTAAAATACTCTTACAATACGTTAAACGTTTCCAAACTTCTTTCCATTGAGCTTTATTACCTACAACTAATGCGTGTGTAGGAGAACAATGAGTCGATAATGAAGAATGAATAATATTGGCTTTTATCAATCCCTTAGAGCTGATTTCAGAGCTGGATAACGATAATCCATCGTATAATAACTGATTTTCTACAGAAAAACAAAATACAGACAAACGATTAAGTAAAGTGTAATGGACACTTTATTTGAAAAAAAATCATCATAGAATCTTTTATTTTCTACTTGCTCATGATAAAGACTGCTTGTTTGTAAGTTTAATAGAACACTGATGGTTGATGGTAATTTTCAATCAGTGAAATGATAACATACATCAAACTGTTTACTAAAAACTAAGGATATGATAATCACCACACAACGATCTCTGATAACTTCAAATTTTAATGGGCATGAAGTAGTCCTATTCCTTTGTTTCATTTTATGTAAGATCACATCATCCGTTAGGAGTATGTATTCAACTGGATTGTTCAAAACTCAAACAAGTGAAATGACATATAACTATATACAAGTAATAGTAGAAAAGTTTGATGTTACTATAAATATAATTGCGACATTCTTATTTATGACTGTATTACATATTAGTAATCAGGGTTCATCAGCTTTTACTTGTATCTTATTGGTTCAGTCATATATCGATAAATCGACAATGTTCGTATTAGTTGGAACATATTTTTCAGTCATTTTGAATCCGTCATTTTTATGTTGGTCTGTTTTAAGATCAACTGTTTTTGTTGTCTTATCACCTTGAATGTAAGCTTAAATTTAATTCAATATGATTGTAGTAGAACCACGTTTATATTATTTATATACTATATATATATATATATATATATATTTAGGAATGACCTTTTTTAACCGTACGATTGTATCATTTTTTACACGAAAGCAATCAAAAAAAGCTCTACAAATGAGCCGTTTCTCAAGCTACTATTTTAATGAATTCAATTTGAAATGGTTTTGATTATCTTGGTGTTGATATTTTGACTGAAATTTGATTAGTTGGCATAAGGGCATCCTAACCCGATTGCCTCTATTTAGCTATTATGATACAAGATTATATAGAGTAGACGTAACGTGACTAGCGAGCATTTCCTCGTATTTGGGCCCGATCAAATGGATATACATGCATCTCAGAGTTGATGTTCACTCCGGTGTCTGATGCAAAAGGTACTGTGTTCGAGTCCCGGAGTGAACATCAACTCTAAGATACAGGTATATATAGCTGACGAGTCCGAGATCGGATGAAACGAACGTCTTGGATTCCACTGCTAGCCACGTTCTATCTATCCTACGTACTTCAATCAATGATTATTACAACACTATATAAGGAATTATTATTGCTGATAAACCAGTGAATGATTTCATCCGTATTATGAGATCAACTCATATTTTGTAAATCAAAAGATAAAAGGCAATGTTGTTGTATAACCTGAAACTTCTAAACACCACACTTTTAAAATCTCTCTCCCATTCATTGAGAATTAAAGATAGTTCAACTAATATAATTGGTCATTTGAGAAAAAATTCGACATTTTTTCATTTTCATTCTTCATTAAACAGTAAGTTGGTCCAATCTTTTCACAAATGTCATGTAAAAGAAAGTTATTACTCAAAATTTAGGCCGATGCCACTGGTCACATTTTCTTATAAAAATTTCTGAGATTTATACAATGATCACTTGGTAGGTAACAAACTCTGATTTGTGACGAACCGCCAAGAATAGATAGAACTCTCTCGTAGAACTGGTATTGTTAAGAAATGGCATTGGAATATTATGAAAGCAGTTTATGTGTTCGACGGTGAAATATTCCAAGCAATTTAGAAAAAAAAACTTTGTTTACGTAATGTGGAGCTGTGGCTTAGTAAGTGAAATATCCAAAGTCAATCTTACTTTGAGACTCAAAACTAGTACCTTTCACTTTTAGCGTCCATGGCTAACCAATGAACTAATAAGTTTACAAATTTACTAACTCTTTCAATAGATGTAATTTTTGTACTGTTGTAGAAAATTTAGAGAAAATTGATGACACTGAAGTGATTCGCTCATGATGTACAAAAATTGACTAAGAATTTGAGCCCTGAATATAAGCAACGGGATTATTCTAATTTGTTCTCTCATAAAAGCATAAACTTTTCAAACTGAACTACAAGTGAACGTAAATTGTTTTGTTAACTTTCAATTGTACAACCACAACATATATCACATGTGATCATAAAATGATTCAGTCTTAGACATGAATAACACACAAGTTAATAATTAGTTAAAGAATTACATTGAACTCAAACGTATAATATTGTGAATATATTAAACAAAAGAAATAGATTACTTTTTGTGGATTGTGAAAATTCAATTCCTGCAGTTGATTCAGCTGCACTGCTTGTATATTCACAACAATGACCATGTGGTGTTTGATATTTAACGTCTGGTAAACTTACTAAAGTGAACCATTCAAATAATTCTGGTGTAATTAACCAGTCAACTTTGGTCAAATATCCATGACAAGTGATAGGTGCTTTTAATTAAGATAAAAAGAATACATGAATAAATGTATTAACAAAAAGAATTTAAACATTAACGTATCACTGCAATCACTTCAGAACTTCGACACCAACTAAATGCAATAATCCAGAGTATGAAGCCAATACTTTGAGAACGGGACAGGAATCACTATAAAAGACAACTAAATTTGTGATCACCAACATCAAACTTCTAAAGGTGTTTATTTCTCTAAAAGCTATATGATTTGATCATGAAGTTTTAATTGTTGTTCCTAACGGCATAAGAACACACTTCAAAAAGAAGTGAGCGGTTAGAATTCCTCTGCAATTAATTAACTGCTTATTGTGTTGACTTAGAATTTGGTTAGTTGTTGTCCATTTGTTTGCATGACCGTTATCTGTACAGGTTTATTTTGATCTCTCACCTTGCTGCTGATCACCCTTTTTAGTGTCCGTCAATTGATTTGATCAATTCCAATGAGTCCCTTACTTGATGCATCACCACACCGCCAAGATCGAACAAAAAGATCTCGGGCTCTTTTCGTTTCATCTGTCCAACATTACAACATAATCCCAATAGAACTCATGTCCATAATTGTCTACATGTTTCAATATAAGAAAATCTTTGTTGTAGCATTTATACTTAATTTTGTAGTTGATTTCTGTTTGGTCTTTGCTTTGCGTTGTCTTTTGCCGTGCATCATATTGATTGTAAACACTCTGTAAGTTTGTACACTACACCTATTCATAAAAACGCCTTAGTAATCTATTTGAGATCTCAGAGATGTTTTTCACGTAGTTTACAATTATACGTTTGTTGGGTTTTGATTTTGTACGTACTGGTTGACATGAAAAGCATTTTGTGATGCGGTTTTAGAAATATCCATTATTCCGAAATACATCTATTAAGCACTTCCTTTTATCTTTTTTTCATGCAATGAAAGTGTTACAGTGTATCTTTTCTTGTTTGAACAGGGTTTGTATGCAACTCCGTTTGTCGGTCATTGGGTCGTTTCTATTATCACTGAGTATTTCATCAGTATGGGTTGGCTTTTGATATACTTAGGTCTCCATTTTTCCTATGTTGGCCCTGATGATCAAAATTCTAATTCTGAGTTATAAACATTTCGCATATTCACTTATAATTGGCCTACATGATTTAAGCACACAAATAATGACATCATTTTTTTGTACATGTATCTCGATGTAACATCACTGAATTCATATTTATCTTCCTCTTACTTTAACAAAAAATGTAAGTAGAAACTGAATATTCAAAACATTTTAAGTGAGGAAAACTAAAATCATCGTATTCATCTTGTATTAAGAGGACATTTAAACTTAGTTTCTCATACTACTATTTTGTAGTTGTAGCAGTAAATACTGAGAATTATGTCTGATAACCAAATAGATAAGGAAAATTTCCGGAAATACGTTTAGCCAAATAACGTCACTTTGTAATGCGTTAATAAACTCCACAATTGGACGCACTAACCTTCTTTCCAAATATAACTGGTCAATCTCACAAAACACTATTAATGTTACACTAATTGTAACCAGATGAATAGCTTCCAGCTTTCAGTACCCAAACTAACATTAAAGTAAAACCCTGATCCTCTGTATTTGTTTGCCATTCAAAGTTTTTCCAATGATTTGGTGACAGATAACAAAGTCAATCATTATTGTTATCACTATTACTGTTTAAAAACTTACCATTAGAAACTGTATCATGCAAGTATGGGAATTGTACAGCGAAGCAGAACAGCGGTTTGATTTTATTTTCATAACTATCACTTGTTTTTTCAGCTATTCTCTCTATCATTGGACAAATTTTCTGCTTTTCATTAGGATAATACAAGTACATTAGTAAATTTGTTTCTAAACTAATCTGTATAACAGATACTAGTTTAGTAAAGCATATACGACACTTGGAAACACCGCTTAATTTAGTAGTCCATATCCAACATTTTTTATCCTCTGTAAAAGAAACATAGAGAAAACTATCAAAAAAAATCAACTGAAGCGAAAAATTCAACTGATAATTTAACTTTAATTCCATATATATATATATATATATATATATATATATATATATATATATATATATATATATATATGATAAAGTGTTGGAAATGTGTTATTTTGTTTTATTCATATCGGAAAAAGCAAACTAGATTGAACAGTGTTGTGTAATACGGATGATGAAACTATATCCCAAATTCAAATAATACGTGGATAAATGATATTCAACATATGAAGTATTATTTTAACCAGTTAAATGTTGTAGCACTCATTAAAATACATTCAATCAACTATTAATAGACCGGCAGTTGGAGACCAGCCATGAGAAAGAATTAACTTGGAACCCTAAGAGTCATTTACGTACAAGGATACAGAGTTTGTGAAGCTAAGATAAGCTAGTTAGTTGATACTTGTTAAAATTAAAATAATGGATGATATAACCATAAGAATGATATTGAATAAAAGTGAACTAAATGAGAGATGATTATAAATGTAATATCTGTGTAAATTAAATGTACCCTAACAGGTAGTCATTATCTCAACTCACTTGGCTGTGATTCACTTTGTAAATAATAATGATGTTCAGCAGGCCAGTAAACATTTCTATCCTGTGATTGTGAATAAGTTTTAAGATGATCTAATCGGTGAAATAGATCACTTAGAATAAATGACAAAATACCGACAGTTTGTAAAGAAATATTAATTTCCACAACATTCTCCAACTTCAATCGACACTCTGAATGACTTATTAAAGGTGAATTCCTGGAAAAATAAAATCAACAAAAATTAATACATGAGAAAATGAATTGGTATTTTAAACACATATTAGTATACTCAGCCAAGAGTTCAATTCTATTTAAATCTCAGAGAAAATCAAGACATTAAGTTTTTCAATAATTCGAATACCCTTGACCATAACGTACTTTTAAATACGACATTCTCATCATCTGACTTTTCAGAAGTTAATCTTTTACCAGAGGATTTGCTTGTTGACTTAAGATATGCCGATGACATAGTTTTACTTGGTGAAGAGTCTTCTGACTACCCTGCACAATGATGCAACAATGTTGCTTTAGGATTGGCTTGCGTCGGTACCTGAACTAGTGATAGGGAGTGGAGTAGTTGACCGCGTTGAGTGCTTCATTTATCTCGGGAGTCTCATAAGTGCTGATGGTCTGGCGTGTGACGAAATCTCAGAACGGATACAGAAGGCTCGATTGATTTTTGCCAACTTGAGTCATTTAAGGTTCAGGCGAGATAATCGTTTGCTAAACAAAGGACGAGTCTACTGCGCAACAGTTCGTTTCATTCTACTATATGGCTGTGAAACATGGCCAATAAGAAGCGAGGATATTCGTAGGTTACTGGTTTTCGATCATAGGTATCTCCGAAGCATTGCTCGTGCATCTTGGAACAAGCGATTAAGTAATGCTGTTGTTAGGAAAAGGGTACTAGGTAAGAAGGGTAAATCAATTGATGAACTGGTGAATATTCATCTGTTGAGTTGGTTGGGACATGTATAATGCATGCCTGACCACCGAATGCATCAATGAGCGATGTTGTCTGATATAGGAGTCGGCTCGAAAAAAACTAGGGGAGAATAGACCAAAACATGGCACAGATCCATTACGTCACTGACAAGTGGACTGAGTCATGTCGGTAGGTGTTGACTACCTAGTTGGAGTCCGTAAGATTATAGTAATCGATGGTTAGAGACCCTGAATGACATAGCTCAAAACCGTTTGCAATGGGGCAGATGTATCCATTATTTGTGTCCGATCGAATCCGAGTCTTCTGAATTCCTCATCACCTTCCCCTTCTAAGTTTGTTTCACTGAATTATACTTCTTGAATAGTATCTTTGAACCCTAATCTTTTTGATTTCCGCCAATACTTCTACATCTACCACTATTGGATTTGAATCGATAATTACATCTATATGCTATCATGGTATGGCAAATTGAACTGATGTACGTACGTGCGAAGTTCTACGTTGTTGCTGACTGACTCTAGGCAGATAATGGGTTTGTTGTAGCCAACTTATTTCTCTTTTTTAAACAAAAATCATCAAACAAGTCTACAAGAATAATTAATAGCTAGTAATCAATAACAATAACTAATCACCACTATAGACTTTTACTGAAATACATAACCGTTAAACTATCTGGAAATTTGTCTTTTAGTATAAACTAAATTTATTTATTAAATAAAGTCAATAAATTATTTTTATAATGAAATGATTTAAAACTAAGTCATTTCAAATAATGTTTTTGCAATGATTGTCACTGAAAATTTGTTAGAAATCCAATCAAAAGTAATTATTCAGCAATGGAGTTTGGTTCTCTGAACTGGATCTTTTGGTCGTGAAGCTTTCATTGTTATTCATAACGATTCAGTAACGTAAAAGTATGAAGAACAACACATAGTCAACCACACTTTTGATCAAAGCGTATACACATATTACACATTAGATGTTTATTTCAGAATGATCATTTAAGCGATATTAATGATCACTAATAAATTTACAATAAGGTCAAGGGAAAAGAGGAAAGCCAAGGAACACATTACGCCGCGAAATAGAGAAAGATATGAGAAGAATGAACAAAAACTGGAAAGAGCTAGAAAGGGAAGCCCAGGACAGAGTTGGTGGGAGAAAACTGGTGGGAGGCCTATGCTCCACTGGCGGTAACAGGCGTAAGTAAGTAAGTAAGTAATAAATTTACAATATTTTTAAGTTTTCTATTACACCAGAAAACAAGTAATTCTATTGATATGAAGAATTTCAGACTAATTGCATTCAACTTAACAATCAGATATATTAAACGGAAGGTTTTCAGAATTGTCACGATAACATAATTAATTATATTGTTACAACAAGGCATATCTGCAATCTCAAAGGAGCATCAGCTCCATTAGAGTGAAGGCGGAGTCGAATCCCGAAGGAAGTACCAGCTCCCTCAAGCCCACAGATTTATCTTTTTGACAGACGCTAAATAGTACGACATCTAGTTGCAGGATATCCTGTTAACTACCTCCAACCATTTAACATCTCCACATAGTGAATACAATTTTCAGTCATTTCGACCAATTGCCGCATTGATCGGTCGCTACTCAGTGATCAATTAATTATGTGAACTGAATATATTCAGAAACTAATGTTTTCAAAAAGAAAGATAACATATATTCAGTTCTCTGAATGAAATAATACGTAAGAACTTACCACAAATGTGGATAATTCAATGACCATAAAATACATTCCATAGTATCAAATTTTAGTATTGGTAATGTATCATTCAATATATCATTATTAATAAGAGGAATATTCTTTGTTTGATGATTAACAATGAGTTTCATACAAACTCCAGTTAATTTTATTATAGTTCTATTATAACAATAAGAAATCAATTGTTTATTCCATTCTTTATTTGGTGTACTCGGTACACCTAAGTGTAATTCATTTAACCAATCATCAACAGATTTTAATGGATTATTCAATTCTAATTGAATAAATTCATAACTACGTTTGAATAAATAAGGGGGAATAGTTTGACGATTTATTATATGTACAATATTATACGGATAGATTGGTGAACGATTATATAAAGATATACGATCAATATGAAGTTGTAGATAGGGAAGAGTTTGATTCTAAATGGACAAGTAGAAAAGAAAACAGAATTTTATTACTGATGTGAATATTTTACATAACAAAAAAAATTGGACAAAAGTATTTGTATGAATTATTTTGAAATTGACCTCAGTGAACGTCTAACAAAGTAACCTTGTGAAATTTCATTCACTTAGGGTGTAGTTAGGTATCTGGACTCAAATCTTTGAACTGATACCCATGTGATTTTTTAATTCTACTTGTTTTCTGTTACTCATCCTTCAAAAATTTAACCAATTTTTCATCGGCATCTTAAAAACTGCTCAGGTTCATTACTATTCTTTAGTCTTATCATGTTTATAAATTTTCGACGCCATATTATTTGGTTAGCCTAGTTAGTAGTCAAAAAGGAATATAAAAATGGAAATAACATGCGGGAAGACATACGTTAAAAATAATTATACACTTAACAAACGTAAAGAAGAGATGAATATGTATGCCAACAGCAACTAGCAGAATAAGGCAGGGATGCTAAGACCCTAGTAATAAAAGGTATTTGATAAACCGCTTCTGGAAACAATCACTAGGCTTCGAATTGTTTAGTTCTGAGGGAGACTTAAAACTTGATTTCAGCAAGAAGTGGTTTTAAAGGAGTTGGATAAGAAACGTGTGTATAGAGAAGGTCAAGGGAATCTATTAATAAAAATCTTTGTGCTAAGTGATACACCTTAATCCCTTAGCTCATCGTTGTCTTGATGACGTCTTTTTACTTTCTAAATTGCTTTTGAAAAGTATCAGTCTCTTCTTTATCTCCTTAATATTTGTCATTTTAATAATCTTTTTTACATATCTCTCTCTTATAGCAGGACGAGAGTTTAAAAAGATTGCTGAGTGTTATTAAGATCATAAACTAAAGTAAGTTAGACAACCGCTGAGAACCAGAAAGCACTGGAAAGCGGTTTCACCCCAAAACGGGACTCCCCAGTAGCGCCCATCCACAGCTCCATTAGAGACCGGACCGAACCGAACCAAGGACTCTCTGGCCTTGAACTGATCTTTTAACCTTTCGACTATAGAGACAGAACCCAATGGTTTATATGTCTAACTTCAATCAATTCGCGATATCATAGAACCATGATCTGATGTCCTCTGTGAGTGACTACTTAAAACTCAATACGGCTGAACTTTATCAGTCACAATTTCTTACTAAAACCCTGGCGATCGATTCCCAAAACTAGTCACTAGTGAACGACACTACTGAGAAGATAGTTTTACTTTCAAATTAAATATTAATTAATTATTATCAAACTCATGAACAATTTCAAATTTATTAATACTTTCAAATAAATATACGAAATGCGATTGTCTCAGATTACAATTTTCTTGTGAATACTATTATTCTTACGTTTATGCTAATGAATATGAAGTATTATTGACGGAAACAAGAAAATAAGATTTCGTGTTGAATAGTTCTTTTGCGAACACTTTTTTATTTTTTCCATTTTAATTCTTATGAGTAAGAAGATAATAAGTAATGACAGTTCCAAACTCATTATTGTACCATATCAAAATCAAGCTTTAACTAGTCAAGTTAGTGAGTTCGAGTTCGCACTGATATAATGATAATAATAATAATATTAATTAAAGAATTTCTCAGCATATGTTGCATTTCTTTTAAAATTTTTCAATAATAAAAACTAGACAATGAAAAAAAGCATACAAACTTACCACTTGAAAATTATGAGAAGTGTGCACGCATATAATTCCATCACTGATATTGAATCGTGTATTACATGTTGGTATATGTTGTGAGAAATTTGCAAGCGATAAATTACTCGATAACATTGTAGACATTTCATCTAGTGCTAAATAACATTAAAGATAAATAAATAACTAAATTATCATTAGAAATTTAAGAAACACAAACTGTGATTCAGGATTTCACAGAAAGTTTAAGGAAAAAATCTGACAGTACGGAAAAACAAATCATTACAATTTTAACTCTGTCTGTGGTCTTTGCTAGAGTTACTGCCGGTTCCAAGCCCGTGTAAAAGAGGATCAAGAGCAGAGGTAGCAATCCCGCTTCTGAGAAGCTTTGATGATCTGATAAACGTGATAAAAAATCTGCTCAAGTGATGTTTTCCTAACAATGCTGTTAGGATGATGGCAATGGTAGGGTAGCAGCTACACGTAGCAAAGATCTACAATATAATATAGCGATCACTGATCAAACTATCTATTTCATAATTGACGATGTAAACCATTTCAGAGTGGGAAGTGATGTGGTTCTCAAAGCTTATTTATGTCAAATATCGATCAGAATGTTTCTTCAGAAGTAGATTATCCATCAATATGCCTAAAAAATTGAGAAAACCGTCTAAATATCAAACCTCTTACAGAAAACAATTTGTTGCATTAATTTTTAACTAAATACTGATCTAATGTGTAGTATTACTTGCAACATCGCTTATACTTAGTATGCTGACAAGTACCACCCAGAAGTTACTGCCGAAGAGATGAGTGTCAGATCCGGATGCAAGACGTGATCAAAGTATTTTTGAAGATTACAAGACATGTGAAAAAAAGACAGCTAATAATCTGTTTGTTTTGCGAATGGAAGTTTGAAGATAAGGTGTACACATTTTGTTTGTAAATTCTGTCACTTATTCCGTCAAGTCTTGACGTCTTGATTCATTAACACTGACTGGTATTATGCTGTATTTGTAGATGATTTTTTTAAATAATAAGTAATTAGTGGAGATATTAAGAAATAGGCAGAAATCATCTAGTTACCTGTTTGTGAAATGGAACATGATGGATAAGGACTGGAACTTTTGTAGGCAATTATCACACCTTGTAAACGATGCATTAAATTAGGAGATACATCAATTGTATATGAACCAATCAGAAAACGATTATGAGCAAACACTCGTACTCCTTCCATTTGATATTGATGAACAGATGAAACTATGAAAATAAAGGTTTAAAAAATGTTCTTAATAGACAATCATTAATAAAGTATACTGTATTTTTAGTCAACTACTTATTAACCATAAATAACAAGCTTTTCAACATATGATACACAGGTCAAAAATGTGGAAACTACTTTGAAGAATAAAGGAAATTCGATGTATGATAATTAATAAGGATCAAAGGCTTGTAGGAAACGATTGTTCATTGAGGAAATCTTTAAGAATATGATAAAAAAAGAAACTTTCAAACTGAGCTACTAAGGTGTTTTTAATTGTGAGCATATCTAAACAACGGACTAATAGCATTATAGTTAAATGCCCAATAGCCTGAATTAATCCGACCTTGATAGCCAGTCGTTATTCAGCTACAGTTTATGAAAGTTGCAATTTCCTCATGAGTACACGATCTGTCCAGTGAATATATATACAACAATCCACCTAAATATAAAAAACCACTGTCCTCAAGTTTCTGATCATTAATTCAATCAAAAAAGCTAGATTTTAACAAGTGTTTTGGATTGAAAAATGGTAGACAAAACAGGTTTACAGTTAAAAATTAAAAGTATTTAGAAACAGATCCGAATGATGGAATCTTAAATTTGTGAAATAATGTTTTTAAGGTTCTTGTTTGCATATTTCCTAAATGAGAACAAGAATTCAGAGCGATAAGAAGAACTTCAATTTATGTGGAACATGCATCAGAATCTTGCAATATACTCCTTACTCATTTACTGACGCTGAGTGGTTGAAAATGGACCAATCAGTTTTATTCTAGTTTGAGCCTAGTCAAAGCATAAAACAGTAGGGACTTTATCCTCCTAACACACAATTTTCATCTATTACAACATCACTAGGAAAAATTCTATGACGATTATTCAATAAGCTAAGTGGTAATAAGGTTTGAAGTCTAAGATTCTAATATCCTTATTTATGTATATTTTTTTCCTAATAATGTTTCAAAATGCTTGCTGTCATAGATTTTTCGAACTGATAAGCATTTTTCAATATACTTTTAGTCTTTGATTGATATTCGTCATAATTTGATCGTTTTTGAGCACTAATCAGATGATAAATGCATCTTTCTTCTTAGGTTTGCTAACTTGAATCATTGTGAGTTCTTCACACTACTATATTCTAAAACTATCATTTTTATTTAATTACAAAACCTCTGAAAAAAAATTGTATGTAGATGACATAACGGTTAATTTATTTATTATGATTATGTTTTTAAGTTGAAAGAATTGAATTCCAGCAAATAAATTGTGCTCCACAAACATTTTCGTCTCATGAAAAGAACAAACTGTAGAAAGTCAATAAGATATTTAATAGTCAATAAAGTATATTTTAATCAAAGTCAAAATATTCCAAACATGAACAATGATGTTTTCTTGATACTCTTTAGTTTTTACTTTACTAAACTAAAGAATACACATAGCGTAGTATTAGTCAGCTGGAGAATCAGATGGAACCAAAAAGTATGAGATAGTTTTTTCAACCTAGTACTAAGGGTCGAACTCATAGCATTTCGAAATGGTATTGAGAGCGCTACTTTTAAAACTGATGAGTCGGAATTATGTGGTCCATATTTCCAACTTTCGTAAATTTATGATCCAATACGATGATCATTTCATATTATCTGTGGAACCTGTCTTATTCCAGGTACCGTTGAACTCACCAGTCACAACTTTCTTCTCACAAAATGTTCGGGAATTCGTCTCAAAGTTAATTACTAATGGCCACAAAATTACTGTTTAGTTTTTTGATGATAAGGGGTTCTGTTTTGAGATAGGTTATAGCAAATTTATGAATTTGTTACAGCGCAGGTTTTCTGTAATTTGATTAGACAAAATTCCGACTGTTGAAATCGATGAATAGAACGCCAGTTGATAGATGAACGCAACAATATAATGTGAGTGAGTAACGGCTATTCACGAAACCCTATGATTGACTTATATCCTCGATATAATCAGAAACCAGAGACAAGATTGTTAGGCAGATGAATGGTTTTTCTTGTAATCAAGTAAAATGCTTATATAGAGAATAAGAATATGAAATAAACATCACAGAATGTCACAGGCTATTGGAGGAGGTTAACCTGAAGGCTACTTATCTTCTAATCAATTAGCACTTGATTGCTATGCCTAATCTTTACACATCCTATCAATACTAAATATAAATATTATTTACAAACCAATGGTACTGATAAATTTTTTTAAATCAAATAGTGTCGTCATCACCATTGATCTGCTGCTTCATGGCTTTAATATGAAGGAAAAACAAAACATCTCTGCAACAATAATAACAACTTACGATCCGAAGCTGCTACTTGAGGATTATCCACCTGTAAGGAACGAACAGAATCGAACCAAAAAGCTGGATAGTTTTCTTGAACATTTTCATCTGTTAAATATTTATCATAATCGCTTAAAGTTAATATTGGAGAATAATTGAATTTGGATAAATTATGAGTTGTTTTTGAACAGATAGTAAATTGATTATTGGATTGTTGTAAGATTGCAGAGTAAAATATTTCACACGGATGAGAGTGTAATCCAGAAGGAGATGATTTGACATTTGCATGACATCCAAGTGTTAAAAAGTTTGGTCGAACCTTATCTAACTAGATGAGAAAGACATGAAAAAAATAAACAACTGTATATCAGCTATTTACAAACGGTACTAAGGAAAAATATATGTATTTATACCACGAAAGTAAATAATAGTTTGACAGATTAACACATCAACATCATCATTAACGAACAAGACTTTTGAAAGTTATCAATGATAAAATATTTTTTACCACCAGTAAGAACCGCGACTGGCCTAGTGTAGGGCGGAAATATTTACAACTGACTGATCCCTGAGTAGTGACTAATGACACATATCTAGATCTTAATGATGCGAATTAACACCTATCTCTTAACACGCAATGTAATTAGTGGTCTAAATAACCTGACATAACGTGCATAGAGTTTCAATGTTAAGTAGTGGGATGTAGACAGGCAGAAACTGTGGACCTAGTTTTGTGCCAGTTGGAGCGCAACTGTAAATGTATCGATCCTACAGAATACTAGTTGCAGACTAAATAGATCAACGGTAAGATGTTAGATTGTGAAGCTGGGTAACGGTGGTTCGACTCCCAGATGAGGTATCAGTTCCACCAAGATTACAGGTACACTTTGTTAATGAGTGTCCCCTTAGCACGATAACTAAGTTCAAAGTTTTTTAGTGACTGCGTTTAACTCGAAGTAGGGATCATCATTTTTGTGGCCCACGATGACTCCAATATTTATGAATATTTAAATATGCTATGAAATAAATCTCCCCTTCAGTTTTTATATGTCATACTTGAGCGAACCCCGTTCGTGAGGTGGCGTTAATTAGGAATCAAATATGGATTCGGTTGGATGAGTTTATCTCAGGCAATCGTTTATGCAGACAGACATGAGAACACGAAGCGTCAAAGCAAAGCAAAGCGAAGTGGAATTAGCTCGCTGGCCTTCTTCGACTTATCAACATAGGGAATGAAAGAATGTACAGACTATGCATGTATTAAATCACCGTTACATGACCAAGAGACTAGCGAGTTGTCACGGAGAAACATAAGAATGCAAATTATGTGCTCAGAAGTATGTCATTTTCTATACAATGCAAACAGTGTAATCTAATTTGACCCGTATTAAAGAAACACAAAGTGCAGCCCTGGAAATGAGTTACTGATGTGTGGTTGATGAAGGTAAAACGTGTTTGGTCATTGAGCGCGGACGAACAAGCGCACCTACTTACTGACTTTCAAATATACGATTTCCTTTCCTGGCATTGATTTCTCCAGACTCACATAGAGTGACTGCTTGTAATTGTGTGGAATAAAATACTTTCCATCACTTACGTCTGGTTCTCTATTTGGTCGTGAATTGGGTATCTGATATAAAGTGATCTAGTCTCTACTTAGCGTACCGTTCGAGTATCTAATTCATTGGTAGCATAGACTCAGTTTCATTTTATCATATTATCGCGAGAAGAAAAATATTTCTAAAAACCGCCGTTATGTCAGCTAAGTATACGAATCACTTACAGAATACGATCCAGACTATTTCGACTGACATAGTCAGCATATAAGTATAATGAATGATGTTATTTTTTATGCCAAGTGGATAATTAGTGAGTCAAAATGTATAATACCCGTACAGTCGATAACTTAATCCGCAAAAATAAACATTCAATCAATTTAAAAACTTACATAGTCATCATACATAGTACACGTATTCAAAGATGAAGTGTCTGATGAACAATTGTAAACAGAATCATGTTTTAAATTGGCTGAATACTCTGACTGACCACAACAACATATGCATCCTATAGGAAAACAATTGAATCCACGAACTCCAAATTGAACAAGATTGAAATATGCATCACGAACTGTAGTTTGAAAAGCGATATCCTAAAAGGGAGATTTAGGAACAAAAAAATTATTAGGTATAAATTAAGTTTCAACGTGGAAAGAATTGTCAAATTTTCTCATTTCTGTTTATCACATAGACCAGCTCTAATAAGAAACACATTAAAACTTGAAGTTATCTTTACACATCGGTGACTAAAAATTAGTAAATTAAATATTTAATTCAACCAAAACGAATCTTGATTTCCCCCATTGGTAAATTTTTGTGATTTATCAGGCTAATTTATTTTTGTAGCATAGATTGCCCTGCCTTTAGCTTACTTATATGCTTCTCAGTTAGATATTGATGATGATGATGATGGGGTTTCTGCAATTTCGATGGAAGCCAAAACGTTAAAGATATCTCACAAACTAAGTATATCCATTATTACTAAAATCATGAATCAATCATTGATAGACCACCATTAGAGACCTGAAAGCACTGGACGGCTGTTTAGTTCTGGTATGGGACTCATCAGCAGTGCGCATCCACCTTTGGATGCCGGTCCAGTGGTCCAGAGGTTAGGGGTTTGCGCGCAAGACCGAAGGTTCTGGATTCGAATCCTGTGAGTAGCAGGAGTCGTGATGCGCACTGCTGATGAGTCCCATACCAGAACTAAACAGCCACCCAGTGCTTCCAGATTTCTGATGGTGGTCTATCAATGACTGATTCATGATTTCAGTAATAAACAACAATCTCCATAAATCTAAATGAAAAATTACATCGATTATCTTCAAACGTTCTACGTAAAAGCAGTAGGGATAGAATAAGCTAAAAGATATCAGTCTTTCAATAAGCACATGAATAATTAATATTCGAAAATTTCCTCATACGCCATACAAAAGGCGTGAGTTGTCAAAATTGGAACGAGTATTTCATATCTCTGACCAAATTCCATCAATTACCAATACATAGGATTGATGAAACATGCGAGATAAGTGATGAACTGCTATTAACTATTTCACATTCTCATTGTAAGATATTAATATAGATAATTCAGCAGATATCAATACCAATTTACGAATGTTTGAAACAAGCACAAAAGCAATATGATAAAATCGAAAATTTATAAAATTAAACTATGTGGAAAAAATGAAGGCTCCTTCGACAAAACAAAACTAGTAGTAAATGTTAACTGTTATTAGACATGTTCAAATAATACGTTTAACAGTATTACATCGTTTAAGCTACTTTATTAAAACTATGAATACATATATACATTGATCCAAATCGTTACACTTTTTTCAAGTAAAAACAGATTCCGTTTCTCTTTCTTTCTTTCACTATAGCTTTTATCCTTTTTTTTCCAATCTTGCCATCTATCGTCCCTAACGAGATTGACACACAGTGATTATGGTATGACAGTTATATCAGTACTGCGCAAGATGTTTAAGCACAACTACTAAACGTTACAACAAAATATTCAATATAGAAGATATTTTCCAAAATTTAAATCCATGTAAAAGATCATACATTCGTGTTGATCACTTTTATGTATTAAATATCCTGATCTTATTAGATTGATTGAATGCAGTTATGCATACAAATATTTAAAACATAATGGAATACTGTCATTTCGAAAAATCAAATGATTTGAATTAATTCTGCCTAAATTGATTTAGATTAGTTATTTCCCAAAACATAGTCAGACATAAAAACGAAGAAAAAAATTGAATTCGACCTAGCATAATAATTACTAAATTATATTATTGTTAGAATAATTTAGATATGAACATACAAACTGTCAACTGTTTTGTACACAATCAAGTAGGATATAAACAAGCTTTTTTTTTCATAATTCCACTTCAGCAAAACTTCGTATACACAATATTTGTATTCAAGTATAATTGGGAAGAAAAAATGTCCATAGGAAAGGTATAGAATGAAAAAAGTTTAAAATTTAATGAAATAATACAACTTACAATAAACTCGCACTTTATACCGGGTCTAGAATGCTGAAAATGACGTTTGACATTATGTGATCTTCTTACCCCGGAAGTTGAAGATGAACAGGTGAATCCTTTAGGATAAGGTAACTAGATGTTTTAAAAAGAAAACATTCGAAAGGTATTTTAACAAAACCAATTTACATAAGCAAGTAGCTGTTTGATTTTCTGTAAAAAAAAAAACTTTAACATTAAGACGAGGCAAGTAGTAGTTAGTCTCATATGGACATTGAATTATCATCAAAAAAATAAAAAGTACAATTTCCAAATACGAAATACACTTTAAAGTCATATCACTAATCATCGCATACTTGACTTTAGTATGATTTGATAAAGACTTTAATTTTTTCATATGTTAAAATTTTCATGAAGTTCCGTATGTATGCAGAATAACACTGAATTCTTGCTTCTTTACGACTTTTAAAAGCCTATTGGTTCAAATTTGTTTACGAATACTTATAAAACAAGTCCTTCGCAATACGACACTTGTCATGATCAACAAGCTTGTACTAAACTTATCCATTATCAAACAGTCAGTCAGCTGCAACCAAGAAAATAACGCACTTGATGTATTCCAAATTTATAACTTGCATAATTACATAGTTCAAGATATCGAGACTTAATCAGTTAGATTAGTAAATCACATAACATCTATAAATAGGCCATTTTTTGATACAAAGCTAGACAGTACATCGGTTATTTAATTGAACTACATTTATGAGAAAAAGCAATGATTAATATCATTTGACAGTTAAAGCAATAATCAGTTAATGAATGCACATAGGAAGTATACTAGCTGATCTCTAAACCTTTTTTTAATTTCCTCTCCTTTCCTTGTTTCTGTTTGAGACTAATGACGTATAGTAACCAAGTTTTGGTCAATCCTACAGGCTATGAACTATACTTAGTGCATGTTGGTTTTCAGTTTCCAAGCGGAGATAAGTGGAGTAAGTTCAAGAATTGTGATTTGTTGGTTGGAAAACTAATGACTAAGCTGTCCTGTGTTACACATGACCAACACTATCGATAATTTAAAACCAGTCCATGTAAACCGTACAATATATACATGTTAGTTCAGATAACTATAGGACATATCGCATCAAGGATAAACTAACTCATTCATAAGTTTTACGAAACGTATGTGTAGAATTACACCTGATGTATTTTTAACTACCGATGTAGGCTTATGGTTATTGTAGTAGTATGGCACGCCAGTATATATAAATATATATTCCAGTACACTATGTGTATAGAACACGAAAACCAGATCAGTCTATAATTCAATTATTATTTGTCCTCAAAAATGGGAGACACAGCATATTGTCACAGCTTCGATTAGTGTTATGGTTATGGATTAACCGTTTACAGAAATACTCATTAAGAGAGGCGAAATAAGTGTTTGATCTAATTGATTTTCCATATCAGAAATTTTTCCAATTTTGAAATCAGTGATTACATTTATTAGGTTAACAAAATGAGGCTTGTTTATTTTCGTACTTTCAAATTTGCGAAAATCAACTAGCAACCTTATCAAATGTATGTGATATATTGGGACAGATAAAAGAACCAAACTGGCTTGATCGTATTCAGATTTTGCTTGAGCGTGAGAAATGCTGCTTTGTTAACAACATAGAACAGATTTATTCGCCTTTGACTTTCTTCCAACCTATGTCTACACTAGCCAGCATAATGTCTAAAAACGAGGTGGTCTGGAACAATCAAACCACAGTACATGCAAACTCTGCCTCATAAATAGATCTTGAGTATTTTTCAAGTACTCCACACTTAACCTCATCCGTCCTTTCCAACAGACTGAGATTATCAGTGACCCAGTTAAAATAGATGGGATTAGATCCAACTACCTAGCTCCACCTCATATTTTGGTCTAAACTAGAAGGTGAGTTAAAATGTCAGGATTTAATACTCACCATCGAGTCAAGTCAGACATAATGTATGGTTGCAACAGACAACCATCGTTATCTGTCGACTAAGTTGAAACGTCAAAAGACGAGTCTAGGTCTTACAGATTCACATGGTCTAACTACATGGACGTTAAAGTTTCCAATAGACTCCTAACAATCCTACTAACTGAAGACAAACGACAACACTTTGATCAAGTATGGATTAAATAAACATAGCTCTGTATATAGCACCGTACGTCTCTTTCAGGAGGGAATATTTTAAAAGGTAGAATATACATTCCTATCAGTAAATACTGTGGTGAAATTTCACACAGTCAAATTATGTATTCAGATATGAACGTTTGGGTATATGCAGCAGTTATCTTTTATGTTTACATAATTCGGTCGTAGCCAATAAGGTATATTTGACAGACTTTAACATTTAATTATTAACTTTTCCGTAGTAACAATGATATCCACATATTTAAAGTGTATGAACAATGGTTCATTCAACCATGACATCATTATATTTTTTCCTCTCTAGTATTCAAATCTTAATATTCTATCATCAACCATCCAGCCAAATAAATTGGGCTTAATAATTTCCAAAATATACAACATGTGCCACATTTCAGCAGTCTTGAGAATTTTACTTATTAATTTAAATAAGTGAAAGCACTGATAACTACTCTTCGATCATAGAGTAACCATCACAAAAATACAACAATAGCCAATGTAACATAACCATAAACCATTTTGTAAAGCAGAACATTGGAGATTAAAGCATTTGACATTTAAAACCTGAACTGCATGTTCGCGTTGAAGATGAGCACATGAAAGTGCATTTGATTACCGACTTGTACCATAAAATATGTAATTCAAAATAACTTTGGATATATTAGTAAATTACTATCATCTAACAAATACAAAATTTAAGCAATTATAGTAAAAAAAAAGTGATAAGACGGTTGAAAAACCCTTTGTAATTATAAAAGATAGTTCAATATTTATTCATCATCAAACATACGGTATTAACTGTTATTCTAAAATCTAAACTTACAGAAATATCCAAGTCAATTTTATCGATAAAAATTCCAACTACAAGCACAGGGACTACCGAGGCAGATCGCCGGAGACGACGAATTTTCCGACGTCTCAAATGTGAATATTTTTCTTTATTTGTTCCTTCGTATTCCTGCTGAAAATTCCCACTGGTTGTGTTTTCAGAGCAGTGAGGATCAGATACATACGAGACATCGTGAGTTTTTACAGCAGGAACTAATGGAGGACTCTCAGTTGAATCAGGAATAGCTGGCACAGGTAAGACAACCTCGTGTTCAGAAGCATCCTCTAAAATGCATCGTATTAGTTCTTTTACGCAGTCAGTATCCGAATATTGTTCTTTTAAGTTACTGTCTGTGTATTCCCCGTCTGACTCATCTGAAGCTTCCATAACGGGAATAATGCTGGGTACAAATGACCAAACCCAAGAAGCCCAAGACTGTTTTTCTACATCTGTGCTGCTTGGTTCATCGTTCAGTTCTCCGGCCTGTATATTAGGATTTTCTTTATCATTCTTTTCAGTTTGTGTATTGTTAGCTGAACAGTCTAAGATAGACCAATCAAACGTATCTGTACAAATACTCAAAAATACTTTTATAAGACGATATAACAAAGGAATTTGAACCGGACTTATATGTGCAAAAAATGTTTCGCAATGAATTTTTAGGTTTGTAAGAAGTGTTTGATGAAATGCTGACGAATTAGCATTTGGTGTACAAACTATTTGAATGAAACATGACATGCTAAATCTATAGACGATTGGATCTTCATAAACTTCCACATAACCATTAGGTCCAGCACGATCAAGACATACAGTAAGATCGAAAAATTGCAATAGACGATTCATGACATGAGCAGAACGAGGATTGATATCACAAAAGATAGGATTACCGTTAAAATCAGTAGCAAAACAATCAGCTTTGTTTAAGCTTAAAGATAATACCAAATCTTCTTCGATAAATTTTAAGTTTAAATTATGGACGACAAAATGGATGTTAGAAAGTAAACGATAAATGTACACTTCCAAGTACCCAGGTGGAACATTCGTAGGTATAGATTGGTTTTTACATGCATACAGATCGATAAAACCAGTTGGATCTTGTTTATTTCGACCTCCATTGTTGAGATCGGGTTTCTTTAAGCCAAATATACATTCCACAGTATTTAGGGTAATAACGATACATTCAGAATTGAGTTTAGTCCATGGTACATGAATTCGTAATTCATGAACACGACCCGATCGGAAATTCACTGGAAATGGAATAATGTCTTCTAAAAACTCCAATCGCAAATCGAGCTGGGTAAGTATAAGATCACCATCCCATATAGACATTGCAAACTGGTCGTCATGCAATTTGACATACTTGTTAAGATAACTCATTAAAAATTTCCCTATATATGTTTCCAATTTAAAATATCTTTGCATTTTGAATTAACGTCTCTTTAAACAGTACATAAATGAAACATCAGCAGGAAATCAACATTATTCAATCTATAACGGAAAAAAAGAACAAACAAGAAGTGAATTACGAAATAAGAACAACACAGACATAAAAATGAGATAAAACTCGACACAAGAACAAAGCTGTCGGTAGCCGATGGACGCAATTTCATAGAACATTATGTGAAATAAATAGGGTTCATTTATACTTTTTCATTCTAATGTATCCTAGTTATAAGTTCAACTATTTAGCTAATATTCTGACCACATAAATCTTTCCATACAATAAAATATTCTGATTCTACTTCCTGATTTATGTAAATAGTTGGGTTAGGCTTTGGTATGACAGTGAAACCAATATAGTAAAAGCAACTAGCACATGTTCAAATACTGGAAAACAAATGACTGTATGGTAATGAGTTACTATTCTTATGACACAAAAAACCAAATTCACAGAACAACGCATTGCACGAACCAAGGTAGCATCAGAGAGTTTCTTCTGAAATAAACAGGTCACTTATTTATTAACCATTAGATACACTAGCGAATCCTGTTATTCTAACAACATTGCAATAACTAATAGAGAACACGAACTTATTTCACTGACGCAGGATGACAAAAGATTCTATAATCGACTCTACAAGGATACAATTTTTTACAATTAATCGATTTCATCATCCAATATAGGGATATTTCGAACATTAACTAAAAGTTTAGAAACTAAATGAGAGCGACTGTCATCGGCTGTAATAAGATGTATATCTATTATTACTGCAAATTGTGAGGTTTTTGTGCCTACCGTAAGGCGTGACAGAATAGTAGTATGGCATTTTAAGTATGTGGTGAGCGATAAACGGAGAAAAACACCTTTCTGGGACGACAAAACGCATTCTACGTGACCGATTTAGAATGTAGAATGATGTCTAGTTATCAGATGGATGATTATGCTTAAACCGTGTATACGTAAAAATATTCCAAAAGAAACGGTATATGATTATCCCCTGGATAAGTATTTGAGCTATTTGAATAAACGAAATTCCTTAAATGTAGAAAACAATCGACGTAAGATTTTGAAGAACTATTGTCTAAAACGAACAAAGTTAGGATAATTTGGACATTGAGTATGACTTTCCCAGCGAACACCAAAATATAATATAGTACTTCTTCGTTAATTATTTCTCAAACAGACATGAAGAGTAGGAAGAGACTTCAAGTAACATCTGTTGTAAAACCAGCAGCATGTTATACCAGACTGCTTTCAATTGAACTATTTGAATATAAACTAAAATACTAGTTCATTATATCTGGATGTTGGATTGTTATATTTGACTTCTATTATTTCATAGTTTCTTTTTACTGAGAAGTTCAAATAAAGCAAGAACAACAGACGTAGCAGAATAAGGTGGATCCACTTTATTTCGCGTTTTCCTATTAGCTGGATATAACCTAAATTAGTAAAGTTAGAAATATCTTCATTTATGGGAAGTAATAAACGATAATGAATGTGGAAATATCAAACGAATGGAATTAACGAAAAGAATGATTATAAGGTTAAAAATATCGTTCAAGCTCAGATAAAACTAAGAAAGTTAAGGAACGAAATCAATTACTCATTTCTAGAGAAAGTTGCCAATTATTACTATTATGTTTAGGTTGTGCGTAGCTGATGAGAAACCGCGAAATAAAATGAATTCATTTGATTCTGATCCGCTCGTTGTTCTTGCTCAACTTAAGTTCTATTATTTCACTTGTGGAATGATATTTAACTGTCACTATCTATCCAAATATTGGATAAAAGAATTGTGTTCCGTATTTATTATTTTGAAGAGTTCAAATTAACAAATAAAAATATTACCAAAGAAACTCGTGTCCTAGTGAGATGAATGGAATAACTATCGAATACAATAGCACATACAGAGCTATAAACAGATCACATTGTTAGTTAGAACAATTTTTAAAAGTTTCTGCTATTATTACCTCCAAGGAAATTAACACTTTTAGGAGAAAGATTGAAACCACCAATTTTAAGACAAAAAAAATAATGATGCGATTTAAAATTGAGCCCAAGTCTTTATTAAATACAGTTGATTCTTTTTGCAAACCAAAGGTTAAAACATCGTGTAAATATTGAGAATAAGCCAAAAAACAGATTACAAAAGCTTCAATTATACAGTATTATCATATTTAAATGATACAAATTGTCTTAGAATGTCAAAAAGCTGATGCGTTCAATTTATCCATAAATTAGCAATTGTGTAACTTTAACTTTTGATAAATCCTCAATTTTCGGATTGAATATCAATAAACTGTAACTGGAATAACGCAACTTGATCATTGACAATAAAACTGGCGTTGTAGCCAAGTTTCGATAAGATTATTAGTATTATGTATGTCGTTTAACTTATCAAATGAATAAGGGCCGTGACCTTGACGACTGACGACCACGTAGCGACAAAAGCGAGAAACGCGGTATTGTTTTCAAGGTTGTTACGCTGGTATGCTATATAACAAACTTATTTACACTATCATCTTATGGACTGCTTAAAACTTACGTATATTGTTCAAAGATCGAAACTTTTATTATTCTATATTTTAGAGAGTACTTCTGTTTCAAATGAAGTGATTTTTTTCAAAATGATGCAGAAACAGAGACAATCAGCGAGATAGATTAGGTCAGTAATCTGAGAAGATGGAAATATTATTAACTAGCAGGTTCCAAGACGTGCATCACGCACAGCTCATCCACAGGTGGGAATTATTGAGAAGCAATAACATTAAGCTATCTTTACATAAATTCAAGGGTTACGTTAGCCGTGGCTGCGTCCCTTATACAGCTCAAACTGCTTTGAAATCTTTCAGTTGCTTTCAAACCGAGATCGCGCGCTGGGGAGACATTAAATTTCTGACTTTTGACGGCGTAATTTGTTTGCCTCATGTGGAACAGAATGCATATAACGTAATATTTCAACTGGTTTAGTTTTAAACCGCTTTTTACTGGCCATTCTTCAACAGATTTTAGGTCATTCTGAAGCATCGGTAAAATTGCTGTTAAATTAGTAAAATTTTTCTCTAAACAATACTATATGTTCATCGTCATCAAGTCACTAGTTGGAGTCATGTTCAAGAAACGAATTTAAAAACACTTTCATTTGCAGTAACAAGAAATTTCAGAAACTATCCGAAATTGTCTGGTCTTCTCCTTCATAAAATGAGAGATTCAGGTTACTGGGTCACGATGCCGAAAGCCGGAAATATTTGTTATTCAAACGTATGTAGGTTTAGAATGCTATAAGAATAACTGATTCTTAAGGAGTCTAAACATCCCAGAAGCTTATATTCTTAGATAAACATAAGAAGAAAGACTTAAAGCTTGGTCGTATTATTATATAAAGATGGTAGTACTTTATCCCAAGGAAAAGGAAAGTACTATAAAGCTGACTTATTTTCGCACTACCTTAGCAACCTATGAACCTTCCTATGAGTACCTAAACCATGTCCTTAACAATCTGGATGTTGCTTCTGTGAAAAAAAACTCGATGACGTTGGTGTGCTAAATAAGCTAGGCAAAAATAAACTAAGCGAAGCCATTCGTAAGCATTTTAGATTACTGGACGAACTAGTAAAATTTACCTAAAATTCCTTACGCACTTGATTTACTCTGTCTGTCACTCAGATCAGAAGAACACCATTGATATTTCTGTCTCCAATAAAAGCAATATATGTAAATCTGAAGACTATCGGCCTATTAGCTTGACCATTGTGATCCTTAAAAGTCTAGAAAAGGTTATTTAGAGTGTGTTGTATAACCATCTAGATCAAAACCCGACTGTCTGTCTATGCCACATACACTTATCAATACCCCGTTGAATCTGATGTGCTCTTATTGATCAGTGACTAACCAAATATCTAGCATCCATTTTCTTCAGTGGGATCCGTGACTAAGATCAGCACAATCGGTTGTCATCTAAGTTAAGTGCTAAGAAGAGTGAAGGAAACGTATTGAACTGCATGAAGGGGTTCTACACGTATGCCAATACCATTCTTGATAACGCAGTATCTTCTATGTTTTTATTTGCTGCATGCACAATAAATGTTAGGGGATGATTGTTAAGAGCTTCAAAACGGCTTGAATAAATTATCTGACGATCCCAGATCTTTGCAGTCGTCGATAAAATAATATGAGCCACAATGAAGCTAGAAGGTTCAGTCTGATGGCTTTCCTTCAATAACGTAAAGCTTACAAAATAATCTCTCGATAAGTGGGTTGTAACACATCAGCGCATGGTCCTGGTATTCGTTACTCGCGAAGCCTAAAATTTGAAGAACATGCCTCTGTTATCATCTCTAGATCTAGATTGCTAATGGGGTTTATAAATAAGAACTTCTTGACAAATGAGTCTAAACTCTTAAAAATGTGTATAAGGCTGTCACTTGGATATTGCTCACTTATCTTCTCAAAGATGAATATCATAGACAAGGTAAGAGTAGAAAATGTCCGAGATAAGCTTCACAAAGCGATTGCTAGATAGAATCATGCTCTCAATTACACAGAAAGATGCAAACATCTTTCCTTGGAACCTCTACGGCGCCGTCGGTTGAAAAATAAGCTAACACTTCTCCATAAAATAATACATGGCCTCCCGTTCGTAAAACATTGACAAATTATGAACCACAATGCTGCTTACAGACTCAGGAGCTACCCATTTGCACTTCTGACAATGAGATATAAAACGTTATGTTGTAATTTCTTTGTAACAGGATATAGTCTATTATAAAACAGATCACTAATTTCTATACGTATCTGTGATACAACCACCAGATTCAAGAAACTAATAATGCTGTTGTTAAACTCTAACGCGATTTATTAACTATTCGCAGAACTGACAAAAAATCACGAGGAACTCTTTAATGATGCCACTATACATAATAGGCAAAAAACA